CAGTGCTCAGTTAACATAATTACGTCTGGGTCATTATTATTCTCGCATAAAATGTGCAATTCGTCATTCTTACCTCTAACACTTTGAATATTCAATACAATGAATGTTAGCTTACTATTGTCTGTTGAATTATTTCTAAAAAAAGTCACCTCTATATTGTGTTTCATGAGAATTATTCTCCTGGTCCAACGACGGTAGCATTGTCTCCTTACTGTAGCCTCCTCCATTGGTGTTGCTAATGGTGACATGGATTTCTTCCGTAGTAAGGTGTTGATTCGTAAAATGTGGTCGTAGGCTTAGGTCATCATTTATACAGTGTGGATTTTGTATGTGTAGAAGCAGCTGTTTTTCCTCAAAATAAGTTTCTATGTGCCTCAATAATGCCGATTTTTTTAGAGTATATCCATTTGAACTATAATTCCTTCTGAGGATTGTATTGTTGCATTCAAATATATTGTGAGATCTTCTCATTTCGTGGAAGTTCGTTTTGAGTTTTAAGTTGATTTCATATATTAATTTGTTAATATGTGACGAGTCGACTCGGAGTGGTTGCGTAACCAGTATCAGTTGTGGCGCATCCAGGACAATAGTGGATAGATCATTTAAGATTTGATCGCTATACTTGTCTGGCCAAAATATAATTATGTCATAGGACCGTGTGGTATTGGTAATCAGAGTCTGTAGTAGTTCCTGAAGGGATGCATTCGGTTTCAATATGGCATTGATAGAATAGTCATCATAAGTTTGTCTTATTGAGAATTCCGCCATATTTTTACCGTTATGTCCCGCTATAATAAGTATTTTCTTCACTCTTGCGGGTTGGGGGTTGGTTTGGGTGATTTTCGAAGGTGATTGTACTTGATTATTACTATGTTTGAAACATGTCAAATTTGTTTTGACTCTTTTCCTAATGTTTTCATCATTATTCGTTTGTGTGGAGATGTGGGATTTAGTTGCTCCCTTGTCACTGGTACCATCGTCCTCAGTTAGAGGAGTTGTCACGCCGTGGAGTTGTCACGCCGTGCTGGTGAATAAGTTTGGGTAGAACCGTCCGGTATTTGTGTTTTCCCCTTTTTTTTTTTATTTCTTCAGTTGTATCTAGTAGCTCTGTTATCGTCTTTTTTGCTGTTCCACTACGGTATTCAAGTCGTGTTCAATTTTCTCAGCCTCTTGTAAGAACAATTGATGTTCATCTTTCAGTTATTTATATGTTTGTCTTTGTGTCGACCATCTGCATTTAAGTCATTGATGGTGGTTTCTAATATACTAATTTCCTTGGAAAGTGTTTGCTTGGTATAAGTCTCGTTCGGAGTACAGCATTCTATAATATTTCCCGATATGAATTTAACTTTTTCTTTAAATGATGTTGATACACACGTTTTATGATAAATACCTGAACAGGAACGGCACACGTATACATTGATAGTTCTTGTTATGCAGCACTTATACTTCATTTTATTTCGATCAGTTCAGCGTACACACACATATTGCTGCTACATATTGGAGCAAATTCACTTGCATATATACGACTCGCAACTTGCTGAGAGCTTGTAGTGTACACGTTTGCTCTCAGACATTTTTTGATCAGTTTAATTTCGAGACTGTTCCGAAAGTTTTCTGCAAGTGAATAATTATGGCGAAACGTGATTGGAAAAGAGAAAATATAAACCTTCTCGTTGAAAACTTTGAATTATATTCGAAATTGTGGAATGTACAATCCAAGGAATTTGAGGATAGAATAAAAAAAATGCCTTACAAAGCTTGGCGAATCTCTTTGGAACTACTACGTCGGAAATACAGAGGAAGTTACACAACTTGAGAAAACAATTGAATCAAGAGTGTAGGAAAATACAAAAAAAGAAAAGTGGACAAGGGACTAGTGAAGTATATAAGCACTTGTGAGTTTTTTGACTCATTGAAATTTATAATCGATGCAAATTCACCAAGTGATACAGAGGATAATCTGGTCAGTTTGAAAGTCAAGTTTATTTAGAGTTTTACTGTACTCAGCAGAAGTCATACATGTAGAACTATTTTGTTATATGAATTTATATTGCCATGTTACTTCACCTTCGGGTGATATGAATTCTTCACGTACACTTTTCGCATAAGCTGTAAAATTGTGATAGTTGTAATTTTGAAGTGGCAACATATTGTTTACTGTTTACGTCAGCTTCACATCAAATATTCTTGCGACATCAGAAAATTATGAAGGATGTATATAGCCAGAACACATTTTTTAACCTTGCTTGGATTGAGCTGAATAGGTTTTCTTAGTACTCGGAAACGGTGTGCCATAATACCAAACACATTTTCAATAACCCTTCGTGCACGAGAGAGTCGGTAGTTAAATACACGGTTTGGTCCGGGTTGATTTCTAAACGGATATGGTTTGAGCAAATACGTTTTCATTGCAAATGCATCGTCATTGCCTTGGGCAATTGCCTGGTAGATCTTTGGAGACTATGTAGCTTCAGAGTTCCATTCCCTGCCTTCAGAGCATCTTAAAAAAAAATTAAAATAATGATACAAAGAGATATTTTACATATTGCAGAATTAGGTGAACAGAATGACTCACGTCCTTCAACATCAGTTTCTCTCCTTCTTTCATCTCCAGCTTTCTATGAGAGTACAAGCTCTTCACATTCATTGCACATAATACCACCATACAAGCAACAAATGTACCTAGGTAAACAAACAGAGTAATAATCTTCCATAGATTTACCTTCAAATATTCATTTTGTATTGCAGAACAGCACTGAGGAACAATCCTTGCGATCGTACATACAGGGATTCGATACAAATACGTGAGCGAATGATAGGAGTCACCTGAAACAGAATAAATTTATTGGTTCTTGATATGTTCGTTTTATTCCATTTTTCATAATGGAAATATAAATTTGTCTTACATAGTAGAATAATTGACAATCATTGAATTTATAAATTTGTTGTATTTACCTGTTGCTAAAAAGCGCAGTATTAATGATAATCGCTCCTCTGGGTTGATAGCTAGCCGCATTTTGGTATACAATTTGTAATTTTGTCCTTCACTAAACTCAGTAAAAAATCGAAGTCTTCTACAGACATTCGCAAAAAATGTTTGAGCTGCTTTGGATCTTCAGTTCTCAATTCGGTAAGTAACTGTTTGTATATACATAGACTAGAATCCATTTTCTAACCCAACATTTTCTCCTGTTACCGTTTTCCTTCCTTTTTTTCCGTTGAACTAAAATTTTCACAACTATCGCAACAGCTGTTTTCTGCTGTGACAACATTTTCTCATTAGGTGTGTAGTGTAATATTCGTATTATTATTCTTGAACTCTCTTGTACTCCCTTTAATAAAACCCAACATTCGATTCACTGATGAGATAGCCTGATCTATTTGTGAAGTGAATTTATAATCAAAAGTGATTCCAAGATCGGTCATCTCATCAACTCGACTAATTGGAATGCTATCAATTACATAGGGATATTCTGTTTTATTCTTTTTTCTAGTAAATGATAAGATGTTACATTTCGATATATTCAAACGTAAATGATTCTTGAAACACTGGTCGGAATCTAAATCGATTTCATTTTGTAAATTCAAGCAGCCTTCATAATTGCCATTTACTTTGTATAACTTCAGATCATCAGCCTATAGAAGTTTTTGGCAGTTTATCATTTTCGCCAGGTCATCAATGGAAAGTCAAATTCGAGCCTTGTGGCATCCTTGAGCTAGGTGTGTACAAAGAGGACTGAAAACCTTCATCTTCCACGTATTGCTTTCTGTCGAAGAGGTAGCTTGTAAAAAGCTCAATTAGACTTCCAGAGAAGCCAAATGATAATAGTCGCTGGATGAGGAAGTAAAAATCAATTTCATCCAACGCCTTTTGCATGTCCGTATAAACGACGTCAACCTGATGCTTTTGGTCTTGAGCATCCGAAAAATTTAGTGAGAGGCATGCAAGATTGGTCACACATAACTTTTGTTCCACAACCTGTTGATCGTCCGATATTATATTTTTGATCGAGTTATAGATAAAATCATGTAGTACTATTTCGATAAGTTTCGAGAAATTGCTTAATATAAAATTAACTTCCAATTTTTTTATCAGGACCAATAGAGACGATTTATGAAATTTCCACGTGTGGATAAGATGCTCTTATAATAATAGTGTTTTTGTCACTGTCATGTTGTGAGGATTATTTTATTTAAGTAAATTACAATGGATGTTTGTTCTGTTAGCTTGTGAATCGATTCTATTCAAGTCTCACGGTTGATTTGTAGTCCTTTTCATCATCATATTATCTCATATGTTACAGAGATGTCTTTGCACTGAGCCCAAACATAACTGACTGTATCAACTTTTGTTCACTTTTCTTCTATTTGTTTTAAGTAAACAGTATCTTTCATCATTTCAGCAAATCGAGTCATTGAAATTGTTTTCCACAATTAGATATTTATATGAATTCTCTCAAACAGAAAATTTGAAATTAACTTTCAGCGTTCGCGTAATCTAGTTGGTATACAATTTCCAAATTAAAATTCATATCGCAATAACAGTTCAAACTTTGGGAAAGTTATGAAGTCAATAATCGAGTTATCTGAGTTATTAAAAGCATGCGATGAAGTTAATGGCTTGAATCAAAGAAAGCTTTCGAATAAAGCACTGGTAATAAACACTGTATTTAGCGGGCTTATATAAAGCTTTTTCATTTGGAAGAAATTTAAAGCTGCGACTTGATGATTCCAGACTGTGAAACTTTATTAGCAATAAACTGATTACAGGGATTGGATTCAGTAAGAGTTTGTTGATGAGAGTGGAAAATTAGTTTGCGGTGGGTAAAGCTTAGAATGATTGGATCACTTATCATCTGCTTGTTTGTGGAGAAGGCAATGTGGGGAAGATATGCGGCATGAGAAAAGATGTAGCGTCGTGGTAATTCATTCAGTACTCATGTCAAAGTACATTTTGATCCTAATCTATTAAAATTATTGACTGACTGATTTTTCAACGACTTCAATATGTCAAAAGTAACCGCGAAAAGTAACTACGTAATATAACCAACTGGAAAGTCAGATTACTGAATGTTTACTGAAAACTCAATCAAGAATGTAAAAAATGCCATTTCTTGACTCAGTATTATTTTCAGGTATGGAGCTCCGGCCCTATGCATACTCTGAAGTTGCTGAATTCCATCCAGAAAAGAGCCATGCGCCTTATTGGAGAAGCGAACATCACTTGAAACTTTGATAGTGTGGAACATCGAAGAGAGGTTGGAGATTTGTCTCTGTTTCATATATATTTTCAGGAAAGATGTTTGAATGACTTGGTACATTTGATTTCACCAAGTGCGGTTCATATCAAAAATATGCTACGAACTGTGGCTGCTCACCGTTTTGAGGTTCAACTCAGTACAACCCGAATTTCACTGCTCAAGGTGACAAAAACAAGGAATAGTTCATTTGTCGTCAGCACTAACTAGTTCAAGCAAAACTATATGGGACGTTTCAAAATGGTCTTTAATTTTTGATGGGATGAAGAGAAAGTATTGTTTTCCCCGTGGCTTGACCAATATTCGACTGTGCTGAACAATAATCAAACTTAACTTTTTTCACTTCAAAAACAACAAACACTTAATCTTTTATTCGAATGTCTATTGCCTTACTAGATCCATGAAGTTGAAGGTGAATTTGTGTGAATCGTTAGTTTTATCTATATTCAATTATGCTGATGTTTTGTATGGTCCATGTTCAACCAACCAATTCAAGAAAAATATACAAAAAGTTCAGAATTCCTGCTTATGATTAATTTTTTGTTTCAGAAGAAGAGAAAGAATATCACATAAACTGAAGGATGCCTGCTGGTCTGGTTAAATATGAACGATGCTGCATCTTGGTTTCAAAAANATCAGTTCTATCAGTACTGCTGGTTTCACACATTTTTCTTTGAGTACCTTCACAAGTCAACAAATCACTACGCCCATGAGGAATTCAAGAACTTGAAGTCTAATCAATATAGTCTATCGATACAAACTAGAATACTGAATTATATGATTGATAATGGAATTTAATTTCCACCAACACATTTTTTTTCAATTCTGTGTGATTGACTGTGTGATTAATCTCTTCCCTTCGTGAAATACATATTAGATAAGAGTCATACAAATCCATATATAACTACCAAATTTTGCAATCTCCTTGGTACATGTCCGAAACAAAATTTCTTCAAAAATAATAAAAAATTTCACTTGCAAAACTCAGGTCTCCCTATGGGCTCACCATTAAGTCTCATTCTAGCAGACATTTTCATGTACACTCTAGAAAAAACATGTTTCCTCAACATCCCAATAGACGAATGTCTTCCCCTGGTGAAATACATATTAGATAAGAGTCATATAAATCCATATATAACTACCAAATTTTGCAATCTCCTTGGTACATGTCTGAAACAAAATTTCTTCAAATATAATAATAATTTTCACTTGCAAAACTCAGGTCTCCCTAAGGGCTCACCATCAAGTCTCATTCTAGCAGACATTTTCATGTACACTCTAGAAAACACCCGCATCCTTAATACCCCCCTTGCAAAGAAACACATTGTGTTTTGGTTCAGATATATTGATGACGTACTGGTTTGTTTTGATGGTTCAAACAGACAAATTAATCAATTTTTAAACTTTCTCAATAGTCTGCATAACAAAATTAAGTTCATAGTAGAATCGAACGAAACAAGGAGTTCAGCTTCTTAGATTTGAATATTTCAATAGTTATTAATGGTTTTCAATTCAATATCTACCGAAAAAACACGTTCACAGACTGTACAATTTCCTTTGACTCTTTCAGTCCGCTCTCATATAAGTTATCCGCGTTAAGGTCAATGAGACAGAGCTTTCGCAATCCCTTTACCGTAAAATAATTTCCAATATGAAATAAAACCAATTAAGCAAATTGCAGTGAACAATCAGGTACCAGTTTCCCTAACTGAGATAATATCAGATAAAATTCACAAAACACTTTTGAGTGAATTATACCCAAACTGTCGAGAACACAATATCAAATACAGTAGCATCACTTACTCAGGTAAACTTTCAGAAAATATTCAAAATTATTATTAGTGAATTATACCCAAACTGTCGAGAACACAATATCAAATACAGTAGCATCAATTACTCAGGTAAATTTTCAGAAAATATTCAAAATTATTTCTCGTAAATACAAAATTTCAACAGCTTTCACAAGTAATAATAATTTAGATAGAACCCTGTTTGATGCAAAACCCAAACGGGATATAATGAAGAACAAATCTGGAAATAAGACTGCGTGAACACGTCTGTTTCGACAAAAAATCTGCAATGTACGAACATCTTCAAGAATCAAACCACAAGATACATGAAGATAACCTAACTCAGGTAAACTTTCAGAAAATATTCAAAATTAGGTAGAAGAACAAATCTGCAATGTACGAACATCTTCAAGAATCAAACCACAAGATACATGAAGATAACCTCAAAATCCTAAATATATGTAATAAAGGAAGAAAGATGAATTTGTTGGAGGCCATGGAAATTAACAAATCAATTAAAAACCAGAAACATATACCCCTATACGAGCAACTTATGTAAGTCTCCTCTCCTGAATTTATGAGTTTAACAACCCCTAGAATTTTCATGGTGGTATTTCAAGTTGGCATCCTGTCTCTTAAGTACCTGTTTTTGCAGCATATCTGAAAATTCTAATAAAATCAATATTTGAAAATTCAGATTTCAGTTTTATACTTGGTAATGGTTTTAAACCCGAAACCGGTCGTATGAATAAAATTTTCAAGTGGTATTTAGATAAAAGTGTTTCTATTGATTTCTTATTCTATCGAA